AATTGCAGGGTGGGGGGAAGCTGCAGGGGGTGGTGGAGTGGTGGCAGAAGAGAGGGGACGCAAAGGTTGGCCGAGTGGGAGAGAGATGGCCTGGGGGGAGAGCAGCTGAGTCGCTGGGGAGGGAGGGAAGCTGTCGTGCTATAAATACCTCCCAGGTAACAGGACCTGTAAATGAAGGGAGGGAATTAGTCACATTCCACGGCGCCTCAGAGAGAGGACAGGGAGCAATGACCTGAATCCATGGAAGGGAAAAAATTAGGCTAACCTTGGTGGGGGGTGGTTAGGGGTGGATGCTGTGTCTCCTCAGAGGGGTGCCCCAGACACGATCTGCTGGACAGGCCAGGGAGGAAGAACCGTGGCAGGAGGGGTCTGGAAGGGACAGCTTGTCTGCTCCATGCCCATATGTGTGAGGGGCTCTTTTCTTTTCAAGGATTCCTTGGCCTCTCTCAGGAACTCAAACTCATTCCTCTTGGAAGTCCTTCCAGGGATCTAGCCTTGGTCTTTCTTCATTTCATTCTGAAGCATGTTATTATTTGCTGCCCTCCCGAAGTCCCCACGTTATCATATGTCTAGCTCTGGGGTCATTCCCTGGGTTTCTGGTTCAGGCAGAAGAATCTGCTTGGGAGGGCAAGAGGGAGGTGTCCTGCTTCCTCTCTGGACCCCACGGCCAGGGGCTGGATCCATTTGTCCCTCACTGGGATGATGGCCATGGTTCCCCACTCTCCCAGCTTCACCCCACTCTAGGCCAGCCCCCCTCCCCACAGTTGCCAGAACAGCAGTCAGTGCACCCCACCTCTTCCTACTCCTCTAGAAATGAAGTCCAGGCCCCTTGGCCTGGCATACCTAGCCTCCCAGATCAACCTCCAAGCAGCTTTCTAACCACATCTTCTGCCCTTGCTCTCCCACACACTCAGCCTGCCATTCTAAATTCTCTAGGTTTTTGCTTGGGCTGGCCTCTTGGCCTACCGTGTCTCATGTTGCTCAGCCTGGCAGAGTTGCATTTCCTCCTAGGTCCCCAAGCTCGAGTCTGAAGTTCTCCCTGCTGCCTCCCCAGCTGAGCTGGGTTCTCCCTCATCTCTACCCTGGAAACACTCCCTGCAGGCGAAGTGTGGGGAAGTGGTTAAGATCCCAGTGGCCACACTATGTGGCATCGGGTGAATAAGTGAGGTCTCCATGCCTCAGTTTACTCATCTGTGAAAAGGGGTTCTCACAGTGCTTCATAAGAGTAGTGCAGTCTGGGTGAGACACTGCATGAAGAGGGCTTAGCACAGTCAGCGGGTGGCTGTTGTTGGGGTCACAGTATTGATCGCACTGTTTCTGTGTCTGCCTCCTCTGTGGGCTGTGAGTTGGGGGGGGGGTTGACGCTGCGTCCCCGTGTGACTCGTCGCCGCAGCCGCAGTGGCCATCTCGCGCCTGGCACTGAGACGGTCGGCAAATGTTT